TTTGCCCACCCCTGCATTAGAATAACAGAAATATTCATTAGTTTATTAAGTGCATGGTAAACAGGCAGAGGCAGAAGCAATTTCTTTGATGGAAGATACATGTGTTGTAGCTCATTAAAACATAATTTTGATATTTCAGGTGCACTTAACAAGAATTAAAAGTAGTCCTTTTTTACCCAGAACTAACCAAATAAAGAAAGTGCTTATAAATATAGAAGGTGCAGCCACCATTTTTCAAGCAAATGACGGCCTAATCTGCTGTGCAACATCCTTGTGAGCTGTTAAATTACTTGTGCTTTCCAGCCTAGTAATGGATGATCACTCTTGGATATTGCATATCCCTTCCCTGTCTGATAGGGGTGAAGTACGGCTTAATGAATCAATGTGGGTAAAATGTTTTGAGTTCTTCAGGTGCAAGATGGTAGAGTAGGCCCAAGACTTGTTTTTATATGTGTTGCCAATGTACAGTATTGCTTTTAAAGCCAGAGTTGATCCAACTAGCTCCTAGCACATGACAGTTTAATGCCAGGGGGCCTAAATAGCATTCATATTTCGGCTTCACAGAAACTTGGTGGAACAATGATAATCAATGTACCAGGGTACAAAATATATAGGAATGACAAAATAGGTTGTGCTGGTGAGGGAGTGGCACTATCTCTGAAAGAAAGCATAGAATCAAATACAGTAAAAATCTTAAATTAATCAAACTGTATCACAGAATCTCTACAGATAGAAATTCCATGCTTGAACAACAAGAGTGTAGAAGTAGAAATATACTAACGACCACCCGACCTGGATGGGGATTAGGAAATGATCAGGGAGATTAGAGAGGCTACAAAAACAGAAAACCCAGTAATAATGAAAGGTATTTACTCCCTATAGTGACTAGGTACATGTCACCTCAGGATGAGATGCAGAGATAAAATTTCTAGTCACTATTAATGACTACTTCTTGGAGCAGCTAGTCCTAGAACCCACAAGGGGAGAGGCAATTCTTGATTAGGCCTAAGTGGAGCACAGGATCTGGTCTAAGAAGTGAATATAGCTGAATTGCTTTGTAATAGCTACCATAATGAAATTCAATTTATCATCCTTGTAGAGAGGAAAATACCAAAGAAGAACACCCCAGTAGCATTTAACTCCAAAAAGAGAATCTATGCAACAATGAGGAAGCAAGTTAAATGAATATTGGAAGGAACAGTCGCAAGAGTGAAATGCCTCCAAGCTTCATGGAAACTTTTAAAAAACACCATAATAGAGGCTCAAACTATATGTATACCCCTAATAAAAAAACAGTAAGATGACCAAAAAAATGCCACCATGGCTAAATAGCAGAATAAAAGAGGCAGTTAGAAGCAAAAAGGCATCCTTTAAAAATTGGAAGTCAAATTTTAGTGAGGAAAATAGGAAGGAACATAAACATTGACAAGTCAAATGTAAAAGTATACTTAGGCAGGCCAAAAAAGAATTTGAAGAGCAGCTAACAAAGACATAAAAACTAACATTAGCACTCAAGGTAGACAAGGCAGTTGTGAAGAAGCTAAATGAATTCTTTGCATCGGTGTTTACTGCAGAGGATGTGAAGGAGATTCCCACACTTGAGCCATTCTTTTTAGGTGATAAATATGAGGAATTGTCTCAAATTGAGATGTCAGTAGAGGAGGTTTTGAAACAAATTGATTAATTCAGCAGTAATAAATCACCAGGATTAGATGGTATTCACCCAAGAGTTCTGAAGAAACTCAGATATGAAACTGCAGAACTATTAATTGGTATGTAACCTATCCGTTTTATCAACCTCTGTACCAGATGACTGGAGGATAGCTAATATAATGCTAATTTTTAAAAGAGCCTCTAGAGGTGATCCTGGCAATTACAGGCCAGTAAGCCAGAAGTTACTACCAGGTAAATTGGTTGAAACTATACTAAAGAACATAATTATCAGATGCATAGGTGAACACAATATATTGGGTCTAGTGCTGTAGCTATTTTTAGAAATCTCACATTGGTACCTTCTTTGCGTTTTGTCAAATGTGCAGTGACAGTGTTCGTAAATCAAACAACATGTGCTGGGTCATCATCCGAGACTGCTGTAACATGAAATATATGGCAGAATGCAGGTAAAACAGAGCAGGAGACACACAATTCTCCCCCAAAGAGTTGAAATATATGGCAGAATGTGGGTACAGAGCAGGGGACATACAATTCTCCCCCAAGGAGTTCAGTCACAAATTTAATTAACGCACTATTTTTTTAACGAACGTCATCAGCATGGAAGCATTTCCTCCGGAATGGTGGCTGAAGCATGAGGGGGCATACGAATGTTTAGCATATCTGGCACGTAAATACCTTGCAACATCAGCTACAAAAGTTCTATGCGAACAACTGTTCTCACTTTCAGGTGACATTGTAAATAAGAAGCAGGCAGCAGTATCTCTCATAAATGTTAACAAACTTGTATGTCTTAGTATCAGGGGGTAGCCGTGTTAGTCTGTATCTACAGAAACAACAAGGAGTCTGGTGGCACCTTAAAGACTAACAGATTTATTTGGGCATAAGCTTTCGTGAGTAAAAACCTCACTTCTTCGGATACAAGAAGTGAGGTTTTTACTCACGAAAGCTTATG